AGATTGGCCCCTACGTAGACTTTCTTTTCAGGCCATTGTGTAAATAATACTACAGCCTCCAGTTCTTCAATCGTTGTTTTGATATTTTCGTTTTTCTCTGGTTCTTGAATGGCATCAGGCGTCGAATCCACATCTGTTCGCCCTTGTTCAGTTGAGGTTTGTGCTGTGGTACCCTCAACTGGATTCTGTAACTGCTATTTTTCTACGTTTCTCGTACTTGAATCTGCTACGGAGTTGATGCTCCTGGATGTCTGTTGATCCCCTACGAAATTTGAACATATTCCCCATGGTGATGGAAATTTAATAACTTGATGTAAGGTCGACGGAACGGCATCCATCTCGTGGATCCATGGTCTCCCGAGAATCATATTGTAATCCATCTCCATATCTACCACCTGAAATTTTGTATCTTTGAAAACTCCTTCTGCGAATGTAGTAAGTATTACCTCCCCTATCGTCACGATGCTGGAATTGTCGAATCCAGACAAAGTATGCGTTCTTGTGGTAGCTAATTTTATCTTAGCTTGCATTTCGCGTAGTACTCTTAGCAGAATAATGTTCACGGAACTACTGGATCAATCAAAAACTCGTTTTCACATTAGTATCATGTACAAGTAGAGATATTACCAGTGCATCGTTATGTGGATTTAATACGCCATCCGCATCTGCATCATCAAACATAATACTTTCTTCCTCTAAGACATGTCGGCAACCCGCTTCCGTGGGTAATTGTGACTTTGGAAACTTTATTGGTTGCTGTGTATGTCACATCATTGATTTCTTCACCTCCGCTTATAACATTAACGGTCCTTTTGGGAGAAGGAGGTTTAGGGGGCTCCCGTCTATTCTTCATGTATGTTTGTTTACCTTTCTCACTGAATAACTCGGTGAGATATCCTTGCTTCAACAGATGATCAACTTCACCTTGTAGCAACCTACAATCAACCGTTTTATGACTATGATCGTTATGAAATTCGCACCAGTGATCAGGATTGCGCCCGTTTAGATTTGATCTCATTTCTTTCGGCCACCGCACCTTATCACCCATGCTTCTTAAAACAGCTACGAGCTCGGAAGTGCTTACATTAAAATTAATAACCACCAAATCTTGCCTTCAGTTTCTTTCATCATCCCGCGACTCTCGTGTGTTACGATCATTCCCAAACCTTGATGATGAGCCCGACTCTCTATTCCTCGATCTATGATCGTACCTTGAATTGTCATGTTTTGATCGTGAATCTTTTCCCGCTGGGCCCATATATGGTTCGTATCTGTTTTTACCGGACCTTTTTTCTGTTTCCGCCCGTCTCGAACTCACCTTTTCTTCTTTTTTGAGACCATGAGATAATATCTTCTTCTATCCTTAGCTTAGTGTTATACCTGTTGTAAACGTCATTCCATGTTGTCGCTGGGAATTCACGAAGACTTTCCTTGAGTCGCCTCGTGGCTTCTGAGCTTTTTCATTCAAATTACTGGTGAAGGCTGTAGCTGCCCAATTGTCTGGTACATGTGGTAACGTCATTCTTTCACGCTGGAACCTATCCACGAACTCTCTAAGCAACTCTGAGTCCCCTTGCTTGATTTTGAAAATATCTTCCATTCTTTTTTCGACTTTTTGAGCTCCCGAATGTGCTTTGATAAATGAATCTGCAAGCTCAGCAAAAGAATTTATGGAATTTTCGGGTAAAAGAGAATACCATGTTAATGCTCCCTTAGTGAGTGTTTCACCGAATTTTTTGACCAATACTGATTCAATTTCTTGTTTGGTCAAGTCGTTGCCTTTGACGCCAGTTGTGAATGCAGTCACGTGGTCTCGTGGATCAGTTGTTCCATCATATTTTGGAATATCGGGCATTTTGAATTTCTTTGGAATTGGGAGAGGAGCAGCACTTGGCTTCCAAGGTTGTTGTGAATATTTGTCCATATCTATCCCTTTGATTATAGGCGGTACTCCAGGTATTTGCTCGATGCGGTCACTTTGCTCCTTGAGCTGTTTCTGCAATGATAATACTAAATTTTGTAAATCGGAATTGACGAAGTTACCTGGTTCTCCATCTCGCTACTCGCTGGGGATTCCACCACTGCCTGAATTAGCAAGCCCGGAACGAGGGTTTTCCAAAATGTTGTTATTTGGAATTGGTGTTGATGGTGCAACAGACAACTGGCTGGTAAAGGCCTCAAGAGCTTTATTGACCCGTTGAGCGATTAGCTTTTGCAAAGCTTCATTGATAGCTTCATCGTTTTCAAATTGAGCATTTGCATTTGAATGAGATCCATCAGGAGTGCCCTCTCGAGACCGCCGAGGGGAGCTTTGTGCAGAAGGGATCGGGGTGCGATCATCTTGTGAATTACCTTGGAGTTGATGGTTTCCTTGGGTGTTGTCGTTAACATTTGACATGGTTGTTGATGTAACAAAAAAGGTTAGGTTAAGAATAGATTATCAGATTTCCGGTAACGGAACCAATTTGTTTAACCAAAAAGTAGAATTTCGGTCAAAGCTTTATTTTAGAAGAACTCGGGTTACTGATAATCAAAAAATAAAATGAATAAAGGAAATTGATTTTGCAAATAATAAGATGAACAGAAGAAAGCAAAGTAAACCAGTATATTCCGATGATATTTCGTCCCCTTACAAATGATCAATCTTCTCCTTTTTATAGCTATTTCTAAGATATGCCTTTTGCCTATGTCATAATAAGGCTATTATAGACAATTAAAGGCATTTAATGTTACGTTACAATGATAATCATTCAATACAGATTTTCTAACATTTTCAGTATTTAATGCTTATTAAATACTGTATCCGTTCTCTCTTATGCTGTCAGATTCATTCTCCTTAAATCTTGGACTTAAATAGGTACGAGCGCCGGGTCTTTTGATTATCTGGTCGTATTTCTGCTCGTATCTGTTGCAACTCGTGCCTCTTTGCTAGTCACAATTCTTTGTTCAGCCTTCGTGTCATGACATGTCATCTTTTAATTAATTCAATATATATAAACTTAATTTTTCCCAATACAATAAGCTCTATGATGTTGGATTTGGTGGATGGTGCGGATGGACTCAAGAGAAATAGAGTTAACCTGAATGTTCTGTGCCATCCTCACCCTTTGCTGTAAATAGCAAAATTAATCCTCCAAACCATGTGCATAAACTGTTTGATGGAATGTCAGCTGAAGAGGTAGTTAGCTCTTTTGACAAATTTATTACGATCTCTGAAAATCTGGTAGAAACTGGACTATTGGAGAAGATGAGAATGGCAGACACCGAACCAAAATTAAATGTTGTTTCTATACCAGATGTTTCGTCGAAGGAAAAGAGATTGGAAGAAGTTGAACCTTTGAAATTGGAGGAGCTCCCTGTCTGCTGTTGGAGTCAATAATGAGTTCACCACAAAATAAACAACTTAATATACAGAATGAGAATGTTGACAGTGCTTACAACTTTAATTTTGATGACAATGAATCAGACTTTTGTCTACAATAATTGTAATTCCACAAGCACAAAACTCTCATCCAAATGTTCCCAGTTTATTTTAATAAATATAAAAAAAGTTGAAGTAACTTTTTTTTTTTTCTTACAAAAATATGATATTTAAAGGAATTTCTTAATTTTGATTATTCCATTTTAAATATTTAAATTTAGTCAGTTAGAAGAACGTTCCGTTGTGTAGGATTTTTATTATCTAACGGGTTCAAGTGTTTAAATTTTGAGAAATAGGAATAACATCACTATCTACATGTAGAATTAGGGGAAGTAAATGGGCAGGTCGGGGTAGGATATGGACGGGTCGAGAACGAGTAATGCTAAAACGAATAAATTATCCGATCCGACTTGACCCATATTAAATATGGATAAAAAATGGGTTAACCGACAGATAATATGAATATTCATATTATCAATGACTTTTTGAATATGATCACTTTTGGGAGAATTCTTAGTATCACAAACGTAAGGAACCCCAAATTTGAGGCTATGTAAAAGTTAAACCAATTAGTTATCCATTTTTCAAGTAGATAATATGGTTCTTATTTATATTTGACCCATTTTTAGAAAATTCATTATCCAATTTATTATTTAATGAATAATATAGATGAATAACGTTTTTTTTAACTATTTTGCCATCACTACGTAAAATTTCCACTAACTTGTGAGGTGTAAGTGTTTGATTAAAAGTACAAGGGTTTATTCGTATTTAAATGGCCTAATACATAGACATCCCCTAAATTTGTCCGAGTATTTCAGCTAGCCACCTAAACTAAACCTATTTCCATTTGAACACTTATCTATACTAAAAACAGTGTCATTTATCACCTCTTAGTCAAAAAATAAACAAAAGATAATGCGTGTAGTTCACGCGTGCTTATGTGGCAAAGAATTTAATATAATAGGACAAGTGGCTTTTTAATTCCAAAAAAATTAAGTGTTCAAATGGAAATAAGTTTAATTTAGACGGCTAGCTGAAATATACGAACAGTACAGGGATGTTTAATGTAATTAAAAGAAGTTAGAGAGTAACAGACCCGGAAATAGAAAAGTAAACGGTTGTAAATCTCCGGGAGAAATTTAAAAATAATCAGATTTACTACTGGTAGTTCAAAAATAGCTCAGTTTTAAAAGTAATCAAAATTTAGCCACTTTTCATGTAAAGATAAATCTGAGCGAAAACACTGACACCAGTATATTATGCTGGAGTTCCAACATAAGTATACTTGAACTCTAACATATTATACTGGAGTTCCAGGATAAGTATGCTGGAATTCCAGCATAATATGATGGAGTTGCAGCATAAGTACACTAGAACTCCAGCATAATATACTGGAGTTCCAGCAAGTATACCGGTCCAACATAATATACTGGAGTTTGGAGCACCGGTGCTCCAGTCTCCAGTATATTATATACATAGGTGCACCGAACTCCAGTATATTATGCTGGACCGATCTCTGCAGCAAAATAGTGGTTATTTTTCATTGACTTGGTAAATGCTGACTATTTTTGAGCTTACTATTTTTGAATGACCAATCTGAAACTGGCTATACCGTCCTATTTTGACAAATCTCCGGTATATAGTCTCTTCGCCAACAACAGAACTGTTCAAACCCCCAAAACTTAAAAGGCTCATCAGCTTGACGCATCTCTACTCTGTAATTTTCGCGGGTACCCCATATTTCTTCTCTTTCTCTTACAATATATTATTATATTTCATTCTTCATGTGCTTTTACTGTTTACTGTGCTATTTATTGTTTATAGTGCTTTGTTTGTTTTCTGTGCTTGGAAGCTGAATTCGGTGCTTTAATTTGACTATAAACAATATATACTGTACCATATTTTAGGTTATTGGTTGTTTGGTTTGATCACAATGTTCTAAGCATAATGTTTAGTAATTAGTACTACTAACGTTCTTAGTATTATTTCAATTTTCAAATATCATTTCTGCTCTGACCCAACTAAAAACAAACGAATTTGAAAGAAACATCTCATTCCTTTTGGGAGTACTTTGAGGCTGCGGTAGATAGATATGTAGTTGTAGTATTAGGCCCAGAAATTAATGGGGGAATGACCTCCCTCTTTGATCTGTAGAATAAGGATTAGGAGCTTGAGGCCGATCCATGATTTGAAATTTATGGGTTCATACAACGACCTCAAGTTAATATACAATAACAACTAGGTTCAAAGTCAAATAGTTATAGATATTTAATGGATTTCTTATTGTATATACAGGGTTTGGGCAAAAGTTATTGATTCCGTGAACCCTTAGGTTACACTTTAGATCTGCCTTTGTTTGGCGCTCTCTAGTAGGGCATGAAGCGGCTACCGAGAAGTCTGTTTATAGAGGGATGAGTCCAGTGAGGGAGTGCCCCGGAGACATCACAACGGGAGGAGCCACATGGAATGGAAGACAAATAAAAGAATCAGGACGCTTTATGGCGGAGGAAGAGAAGGGGCATGGATGGTATGTCACCAGGTCGTGTGATATATGCTTTGGCTACCTATAGGAAAAAAATTTAAAATAAAAGAAAGGCCAGGCTCAGGACCAGGAGGGGTGTGGTAATTATTCGGGAGGCCAAGGTGGGGACTCGAAACCCAAGGAGTTCATAGGTGCTGATGATTTAGAGTAAACTTTTACTCTCCAAGTAAACTTTTACTCTTTGGAGATCAACTATTCATAGTTGCTAGTTTATATCTTGTAAATTAAATTGGTGATGTGTATTAGTTTTAGAGTTGTTCTGGTCAGAAGTTTAACAAACCGATGCTAGATAGAGTAGGAATAGTTAGTGCAAGCCAAAGGAAAAATGGGGTGGATGGATGGCAATTGAAGTCATTTAATGTGTATGGCTTCAGTTCCCCGGCTTTTTTTCCTGTTTTAGGGATTTATACCTTTGGGGAGATAATTTTCTGTTCAAAGCAGTATGCTAATTACATGCTAACAGTACAATGTTCTTCTTCTGGTGAGAAGATATGAATCGGCCAAACTGGCTGACAACACCATGAAGGTCAAGTGGCTGCTTGGTGATGCTGCAGCCATTCTGTATTTAAAGATCAAAACTTTTTTCTTTGATAACCGAGAAATTGCAGAGAGCTAGTTGGAGCACGGTTTGGAAGTTAGTGGATAATGGGCATGCCCCTATACCCTTTTTCTCTTAAATACTAGGGCTTAGCCACAGTAGGGTTTGAACACGCGTGCGCCTAACACGCATGGTCACACATTACACGTGCTCTTATCACTGAACCAAAGTCCCGAGGGCTAATTTAAAGGTTATGCATCTGTTGGAGATTATTGCTTTCTTCTAATTCTTTTTCTTGGTCTACTGGTAGCAATATAATTATGATGCAACGAAATGAATTGACTTTGTGATGGTTTCTTACATCACATGTATGGTAGTTGGCACTATAGTTAAGCAAAGTATGAAGAGGTACATGCACTAGCTAATGATTTCTTATAGGAGGAAAGTTGGATGCCTAACTGCAAACTTATTTTAGAATCCTTATCAATGAAGATAACTGGAAAGAGAAGCCAAGGGCTTCTGACTTTGTCCCTCCAGCCTCCACCCACTACAAAATAACTCAATTTGACTTGCTTGGAGATTATGAGTAGAATATTAGGATGAAGTATCATATCATGTTTGACAAAGAAGTGTAAAGTACTAGTTTGGAATGTGAGCAAATTTCGTAGTCATTTATGTCATGAAAAATAGTCCGTAGAGAAGACGTCATATCAAGTCTGGAATAATGTACAGTAATCTTTCTGTAATTTTATCATGACTTGATTGATCAATGAAGTTTAGAAGCAGAGTTGGCTAAGTACTTTTTTTGTCAGTTCAATATTCCATAATTGTAGCTTTTGAATTAGTATAGTATCAAAGCTAATAAAAAGCCAGGGGAAAATGGTTTCAAGTAGTAATGTGGACATTCTGGGAGAATCCAAAACTATCTTTTATGGATAAGGAGTAATTAAGTTTTATAGTTGTTTGCATTTTTGGAGGGAGAAATATTTGTATATCAAGGAAGGTGGTCAAGTTTTCTGATTGAAAAGAAAAGGAAGGTGGTCAAGGTTTTTTATGACGAAGCAAAAAGGGAAGTACATCATTCTTTATTGGGGGCATAGGGAGCGCTTCATTTGAATATGACTGAACTAGGGTTTGAACTACTAGAAGAACAACGATATATGAATAATCAATATTTGGTTTGAGCTCGAATTGACTCTTTAAGTCACAAATTGTATGTCAAGCACTAATGGATGGGCTAAAGAAGGACAGAAGTGAAGGGGTATCAACTCTATAATAAAAGCTGATGGGCAAAAAAGTTCCAAATAGCTTTACATCCATCTGTCTGTAGAGGAGTATAAATTAGTGAAAGTCAATCCAGACTTTCTGAAAAACCTGCTTATTGTAAAACGCATTCTGAAAAACTTTCTCATTGTATATTGCATAGTGGTGGAATATGCAAAGATCAAGCAGCCCAGTGCAACCTAGATGATAGAGGTAAATAGCAGTCCATAGCATAATTTTTGATAGAGAAAACTAGAGAACACAGGTCCAAAGCATAGATTGTTTGCCGATAATAAAACAGAGAAAGGTACTAAACACCGGCCATTCTTGTTCATAGTGGTTGAGAGAGTCCTCTCCATGCCACTAGGTCAAGAGTTCGAGGCTGGTAGTTGTTGCAACAAAAAAAGAAAGGTACTAATAGCTCTGAGGCTATTATTATGAAAGTACAGAAATTGTCTACTGATAGTCTTTAAGTTTCTTGCGGGATAGGAAGTTCATTGCATTTAAACCATGATAGCCACACTTCTTATTTCTTTTGGGGAGTTCCAGAGTTCTCGCTTCTGATGTACCCTAGCTCAATCACAAGCTCCTTTGTGCCCCACTTATCCTTTCTCCTTCCTGAATTCTGAAGGTCTGACATCCATATAAACTGAATGTCCTTGAGGGTCATACTTTCGTCCAGTTTGTGCCTGCAGCATACAACATCCACCTGCACAAAATATTAGAAAATATTCAGTGGCAAAGCAGTACTTTGGCAACTCTTTCTACATTTCTTCTTGTATGTGTAGCAATCTGTTTCACTGTTCTATACGTGTTTATTTTGTCCTTCTAATTCGAGTCATTCAAATGTTCTGCTCCCCCTCTCATTCATAGTTTCTATGTCTATGTTATGTAAACATTACTAGTATATAATCCAAATAGAGGGCAAAAAGTTACAGTTTCCTAGTTCTTGATGTAACAGCGGTAGTTAATAAATGAATTTTATATAACTAACTAGCTCAAATAAATGCAAAATTTTGACAATACATTAAGGCATAGATTATTGTCGTTAGTTTTCTAGTTACCCAGGAAACTGAAGAGACAGCTGGTTGGAGTGAATGCTCAGATGTCTATATTCAGATCTTATTTCGTATTTTAGCTCACTCAATTGTTTCCCAAGGCTGACACTTTCTCTGTAAGCTAATTCATTTAACAGATAGAGACTCTTGAAAAGAAAGCTTTTCATAAGTTTTTATGTTATTATGGGGGGGCCTGAGGCAGAAGTTTCTGGCTAAATTTATAGTTCACGAGTTGTTTTGCTTGTGCACTTTTGTATACTGAATTGTGTGATTCCCGTTTAAGACTTTCAAAAAGGTTTGCACTTCTTTTCAAAAGTTTTCTTTCCCCTTTTGGTTGTTTTCTACATGAATAAAGGCAATACTTTCTTGATACATAAAAGGCAATATTTGAAATTAGTTTAGCACTGTGTATAAAATCATTACCTCAGTATGATCATTTATACTTAGCTTCTGTGCGAGGTACTTCTGGATTGCAGATACGGTGATTCTACTGTCTCTGCATATGTGCAAAATCAGTTATTTCATTTTACATGGTGATAGAAATGAGATTTAAAAATATAGGGGACAGATCAATATTGAGGACGGAAATTAAATGCTAGTGTTAGATGCTATCTCGTGAAATGCAATTAATGGCTTGGCCCCTTTTGCATGCATGTAACTAATTAAAAATTCAATCTACTCTACACTAAAGTCTATGCTAAAAGAATAGATGCATGTGAAAATCTTACTTGAGATGGATATAGGACTTATTAATGGGAGGCAACCTGCGTCCACTCCTGTCAAGAGTAAAAGAACAAAGTTGTGTCAGATCAGTGAATAAGAATCTTGAGAGCGATGTGACTGGTCGGGTACGTACTTATCTCCCTGTGGTACAAGAGAAAACCAGAAAGAGCAGACTTCCTTTTGTTTTTCATCCAAAACTTGCTTTTTAGGTGTTGAAGACTCTCTGTCTTTGGCATGCTCGTCCTTATGAATGTCATCTGGCCCAATGTCCGACTTTTTCTCCTCAGTCTTACTAGTCTCACCTGGTGTAAGCTGGCGCGCTCTTCTGTTCTTGTTCCTCTTTTTCTTCTTTTGCCCTCTGATCTCCTCCGTCTTGGACTTACCTACTTCAGCATTGGTTTGAGATACACCGCAAGCAACCTGAGGCATCTTTAAAGAAACAGACTTTTATATTGAGGTTATGTGAAATACATCTAACCAACACTACGAACTTAAGGCCAAATTCCTTTCCAAAATATATATGCCAAATACAGTGAACTTTTGATTGGAGAAAAGGAAAAGAGCCAATAACTACCTTAACTGCAGATGCAGTTGTAGATAAAGCTGAGCTTTCTTGTGAGGACGTGCGATCTAAGGTATTTTCTTTCTCTGCATCTGCAGGGTTGTGAAGAAACTTCTCCTCAAAAATTTCATGATCCTCGAGCTGATTATTAGTTCCAGCTCCTTGAGTCACATCATTAGCTTCGGATCCCAGTTGTCCTTCTCCAGTAAGGAGAAACTGGATTTTCTGTGCTATGGACCGTATTTTCTCATCATCTCTGTTGAAAATATGCAGTCCATTGGCAAAAAGAAGAGATAAGGTTAGTAAAAGAAAAGTAGGGATGGAGTTTCCACCCTGGTGTGCCTTCCATCAATAGAGCATTAACTTATTGGAGTCCAGACATTTTGATCCGGCTTACATGCTGCAACTCAGTGTCTTTAAAAGCGAAAAGGGCTAAAAATCCACAAGATTCATGGGACTTGAAGCGAAAAGCGAGAAGTGAAGCGCACGCTACTTTGAAGTGAAACCCACAATTTACGTAAAATTTAAAAGTACAAACATATATTAATTTACCACTATAACAAATAATTAAGTTGCATAAATATAACTAATTTCAGCATTCAATATACTATTTGCGGGCATTAATTCAACTGCTCAAAGTTGAGATTAAAAGCACCTACTGCTTCCCATTTGGATCACTTTGCGCGTCATTGTTTTAAAAACACACTTTACTGAAGCACATGGCTTCACTCATGAAGCGATAACACTCGCTTTTTATTGCTTCATCGCTCTAGCAATGAGGCGATAGCTTTTAATAACACTAATGCCCGTATGTGGTTAGGTATGTAGACTCAAAAAGATTGTGAGTTCTATCTGACATGATAGGTTCTTATCGACACAAATGATCTATCCAATTGCCAAACTTCTGGTGATGTGTCAGAAAGAAACATCAGGTCCTTAAGTTCTGTGCAGCTACTTAATTATAGGTTTGCATACCATTACTGAAGGATCTGAAGGAGAGGTCACCTTATACAGAATAATATCTCATATATCCCAAAGTTTTATCGAAAATGGATATGATAGTCCAATGAAATAGTCTTGTGCGTAGAAGCAGTTTCTGCTTTAAGAAGCAATAAATCTGACTGTGCAAGCATTAAAGCTGTGATACGATTAGAGAAGCATTGTGTCCCTACACTCCTTCATATCCTAATGAACACAGCCAATTTGAAGCGAAATTCGGAAGGGCTTAAAATAAAAAAGGATCTTTGAACTGTTGTAGCCCGATGAAATTCTCGTTTAATTGTCAAGTGATCATACTCATAAACAAAAATGGTTGTTAAAGAACTTTGCGCTTATGAAATGAACTTCTGATTGGCTGCTGACTGTTCCTATTTTATTTCTCAGACCATAATCAACCATTTATCTGAAGCGTGTCAAAACTCAAAAGACTTAGGTCACATCAACTATCACATTATTTCTTATTTCTTTCTGCAGCTTCTGACCACATATTTACTTGACAAAACATTGAGCTTTTAAATGCAAGAGAAATGAGGCCAGTAATTACTTGAGATGCTCTTCAGGTGAAGAACCTAGGTCTTCCTTGCATTGTGGGCAGCACTTAGTTTCTTGAACTGCTTGATAGATGCACCTTTTGCAAACTGCAAGCAAGGAGGAATTGTTGTAAGTCAGATAAATAAGTTAACAATTTCATGTTCTTTCTTGATTTCTAGATGGACAAGAATCAATCATGAGGCTAATATTGATGAGAATCATAAAATTGAGTAAACAAGCTAACTGTTTTCTTTCATAAAGTAAACCAGCTAATTACCAATCTCAATAAACAAACATATAACAACAAAAGAAAGATAATGTCCACCTCAATAAATGAAAATACAAACATTGATAGCTGAAGAGATGCACTTCTGATTTGATAACTAGATATTTTCTTAGAAGAGGGAAGCATTCTGGAAAAGGATCAACTTACACCCTCCGAGTCTTAGTGTCCAAATCATGAGAATAATACTGCCACTTCTTTTAGTTTAAAGAGCTCTTGCCCCGGAAGTCTTATACTTCTGTTAAAGTAAAGACAATTATAAGTTTATAATTCAAGTTTGATAGCCTATAATATATTTTTGACACTCATCTACCTTGAAGTGTACTTTGCTAGTTGGTTTGTGGTGCTAAACATGCCCATGGACATGTTAAGTATCTGAAGTTCCGTCTGGTTAAAAAGAAGTAGCTGAGCTTTTCGTATTGATAATTCTATTAATTGTGTAATAGGATTGGTGGAAGAGCCGCAGCTATTTCTTGTACTTTTTGTGTACCATCTCGATACCATTTTAGTAAACCCTTCCCTTACAAAAAAGGTATTTCTATTAATTGTGCTACTGTTTTATTATGGTAATAATATCAAAAGTGAGAAGAGTATAGACCCGGTCACACAACATACGTAAATGTCTATTTACGTGTGCATGCATTGCAAATGCAAAAAACACAGAGAAGCAACTCATTGAAGCTTACATGTGTGAAGGCAAAGGTTTACAGTGGTGGCTTCTTCAAACAGTTTACTGCATAGCATACAACATAAAGCTGCATAAATCTCCTTGAGCTTGCAACCCATTGATCTATCTGCTTTGACTGATCTCCCAGAGTCTTTCACTTCAGATCTTTGGTCACCCTTTGCCGTATCCATTAGAGAACTTTTGTGTCCTCTGTTTGCCTGCACTATGAGGTTATTTCTAACTTCTGAAATTATGACATAGATTACTTATAGACTAGATTAGACAAGTTAGTCTTAATAACACGAAGAGCTGCAAGAGAAACCATAGATACATAGAACTATTCAACACAAAAGACACAAACATCCGAAAATTCTGTGGCCTTCGTTATGTGTTATGATGCATTGACTGTATGGATTAATGCGATGAACATATAGATTATCAGTTGACAAGGATACTTATTTTCTCAGATATCAGAACAATGATTATCTCAATATGGAAAAATGTGTGGTTCCTTGCCTTTGATTCATACTTGTGTACCTATATATGAGAAGTGGAGTATGACCGGGCAATTGTTAGGAACACTATTTTGAATTTTTGTGAGAGGACTAAAACATAACTGTAGTTGAAACAATTCTAGATGGAATATAGGAAGGATTTATTTTTGAAAAATATTATATGATAAAATTGTTTCGGCATCAGCTGTACCATCTCATAACCCCCTTTAAAATCATTGTTTAAGTCCCAATTGAGAAAGAAGAAAAAAGTCATCATTTGAATATCCTGGTATCTAGTGGCTCTCATATGGCCCACTGGATAGGTCTACTCCTAGGGTATTTATAAGTTTGCCATTTCATGTTGGTGGATTAAAGGATTCAGGTTGTACAAGCACTAAGTATAACCTGGAATGAGCAAGTGGTATAACATCTATTCAGTTGGACAAGCTTACAGATCTTTCACACCTCAAATTGGATTTAGTACTAAGCTGCATCGAGTTATGAATAATGTATTCCTGTTTTGTATGTCGGATCTAGTATGGACCAAGCTTTTGGATTCTACTCTTTAATTTGATTTAGTTCTAAGCACATCTTGTAATAAGGGGACGCACTATTTCTTTTGGTAAATGTTTGTCCACTTTGTAAACTTAGTGTGAGTAATGAATATGAATGAAGGTAGTAAATATGAGTTATATTCTACTAATTTAATGTAATTACTTTAAAAGCATTTTTACCTTCTTTGAGAAAATAACATTTTGAGTAGGTTTTCTGAATGTTAATGTTATCTTCTCTGGCAAATCTATGAATGACATTTATATCTATCACTTGCCATGTAATTGTATATTCCCACATTTTATGTGGGCATCTTTGACATTTACCCATTAATTACATAGGGGTTAGTGCCCTCTTGTTTCATACTTCTGGCTAATTAGGGTAATTAATTTAACTTAGTTGACGAGAAATTAGAAAACAAGTAAAGCTCTGTCACGGAAATTTATCTCTTGGAACCAAAGAGCTTTTAAAGTCTACTCAACAGGCTTCATTGAACAAGGATATAAACAATACTGCTAGCAAGAAGGAATGTGCTAAATGAATGACTGATTCACGCCCAAGGGCGTGGTCAACTGGTCAATGAAGTGGGTGCGAACCTTGAAGACCAAGGTTCAAATCCCAAGTGACACAAAAAATAGTAGGTGACTTCTTCCCATCTGCCTAAATCTTGATGGGCAGAATTACCCGGTACCTGTGCTGGTGAGAGATATCAGGTATCCGGTGGAATAGTCGAGGTGCACACAAGCTGGCCCGGACACCACCATCAGTTAAAAAAAAAAAAGAAGATTGACCGATTGAGAAGAGATCAGACCTCTAAAAGGGTAAATCCTGAGTTTAATCTGCCACCTGAGCAACAAAGGAGAGATCAGTGGTTGGTAGCAAATCTGAAAGGGAAATGTCTATATAACTGAATATCATGCAAACACACACACACAGAGAGAGAGAGAGAGAGAGAGAGAGAGAGAGAGAGAGAGAGAGAGAGAGAGAGAGAGAGGAATTCTTACCAAGTGAAGAGAGTTTTAGTCTAAGAAAAGCTCCTTCCTTCAAGAAAGGATTGATGATATTTGTAGCAGCACTAGAGAGAAAATTGAGAAAAGAAGTGACCTGAGGAGAGAACAAGTGTAAACTGATTCTGTATGACAAAGAACAAGTGTAATCTGATTCTATATGAGAAAAAACAAGTGTAATCTGACTCTATCTGAGATTACCATGATTATATGGATTTTCAGTTACTTACCTTTGGCATTTTCTTGGATGCATTCAATTCTTTTTTCCTTTGGAACTTTCACTTTGTCAAATCTGAATAAACAACTTTTATCGTAAAAGTATTCTATCTTTTTCACAATTTGAAGACAAAATGTCAAGGTGGTGCTTTAACAGTCAGTACAATAATTCAATCATGAATTACTTGTTGTTAGAAAATTAGTGCACTTGCTTTAGTTCCTGATTGAAGATGTATCACAAATAAAAAATATGAAAGATGATTAATTATTAAAATATTTTGCTAGAAGAACTTCATAATATATAGATCATCATCGGAAACTAGGAAAGGATGGTGAAAGGGAAACTTGTCCACGTGAAAATAATAATGCTTCTCTAACAAATATTTACATGAATGAAGAATTGAAACTTAAGGGAAGGAATATATATATATATATATATATATATATATATATATATATATATATATATATATATATATATATATATATATATATATATATATATAGTTTCTCTTTTAAAAAGATAAGATAAGATGCAGCTAAGTACAAACTGGATTTCTTTAGAAAACTGTTTTCCTTAAATGATTAGCCTTTGAATTGTGTATGATTCTAGAGTTTCAACTGCAGTCACATTTATCAAATAATTCTGAGCTATATGTGCTTGTCAAGGAGTGCAATGGATAGTCTATCGGAACAAGGGGATTAGGTCATTCAATACGGTTATTTGCCTTTAAAAATATGGTAGCATGTTACACGAGTTGGAAAGAATGTATCATTCTGCTGAAAGATTTTCTTCTAGTATTTGTAATGCCTGTAAATAGATTCAGATCAAACTCCTTGTGGGAAGGCGGGGGTGACAACAGAAAGCATCATTTAGAGAGATGGTCGGCAGTCATGAAAGACAAAACAGAAGGTGGTACGGGAGTAAGAAAAATTTGAAAATACGCAACAAAATTTTATTATAGAAATGGCGCCTGAGGTTTAATGATGGAAAAGACTGTGGAAGAAAGTTATGAATGTAAAATATATGAGATGGAATCTCCCTAGTACACAAAGCCGGTGAAGGCTCCTTATGGAGTAGCTATATGGAAGTAAATTCAAAGTTGCTGGGATGAATTTAATTCACATACAGGCTTAAAAGTCGGAAATAGAAGAAATATCAGACTTTGGCTGGATAAATACTGCCTTGGGGAACGTTTTTCCAGATTTATATTAACTCGTCATTAACAAAACTTGTTACAAGCTGCTTTTCTGAAGGTGGATGGAATCTTCTTTCCGGAAGAAATTTCATTGATTAGGAGATTGGGAATGTGAGTTGCTTAGTAGAAAAATTGAGCACGGTATTCTTGTATAGTTGGTGTAAAAGGTGTAGCAGCTGATTTTGTTGATATCCTGGTTCTTTTGGATTAACAGGCAGAAGTAGAAGACTGGTACTGTTTGTAAAGTTAAGTACCTCCTTGGTGCTACTCATTTTATAATATTTTACCTTTTGCCAAACATTTTTTTGGTTTTAGCTTGGTGAGAGAATTCCCTGATTCATACGTCTGTTTGTAATTAATTTAATTTTTCTTTCTTCTGGAGATAGTTCAAGAGTGCCTCGTAAATGACACTGTTCTCTCTTCACAAGCATCAGGTCTTTCTTTGGGGTTGGAGGGGTGGTGAGGATGGTGCTGAGTGAGGAGATATGTTTGCTTAACTGATTACAGTCTTAAGGATTCATAAATCCTCGTCCGTGAACAATTTACCACTGAGCAAGGTCTAATAGAGCATTATGGTCCTTTAAATCTCTTGGAAAGTAAGATTGAATGATCTCCTTCTGGATATGTATTTCAGTTTGAGCTATGATTAGGTGGTTTCTTGAAGTTCAATGTTTCTTATTCTAGAGCTTAACTTATTTGGCTTTCATCTATTACGATCACATGCATGTTGCTCTCACCTTTCCTTTGTGCACGGTGAAAGGCAATGATAATCTTTTATCCGCTTTCTAAGTGCATAACAGGAAAGTTTGAGGACCTCTTAGAAGCGACGACAGTATGTCTGAGTTTAACTTATTGTGTAGCTAGCTCTTGGTATTGTCTTTTGCCCTGATTTATGTAGTGATTGTTGCAACTCCTTTATATTTACGGTCCTTTTATGCGATTTCCACAACTTAATGTGCTCTCTTCAGATAAACGATATCTGCATATTTAGCATGGTAATGCATCACTGTTGGTGCCGGTTTTGCCAGACCTTGTATAAAGCAAAGTCGAAGGGTAATTGTACTATATTATTGCATCATGCTCAAAGGAAAAGCAACTGCAAGTAAAGGATAAACAACTAAAGACTATGAAGTTCCCAAGAACAGATTGATCTATTATTTCCATTACATTTTAATGTTTTGACATGCCAAAACCTATGTAAAGGTCCTTCATATTGTGATGTCTTGACCTGCTAACAAACAAAGCAAAGGTGTAAGCCTTGAGACCTTAGTAAAAGTCACAGATGTAGATTGCCTTAGTATTACCAAAGCACAATATGTAATACCAGTTGTAAAATAAATGCATCTGTTTGTATTGCCATTCTCTTTTCTTTTTCTTGTATGGAAGTGGAAATTGATATCATAGTTGGATCTTTTAGGGGTGGGAGTGGGGGATTATGCATTTCTGTAACAAACTTTTTGTATTACTTAAACCATCTATATTGAAAATTTTGTTTCTTACCCTACTTTTTAGGATGTGTTTTTTCCTACAAACTGCTGATTTTTCGTGTGATGAAGTTTATGCCTTTGCCTTTCTCATAACCGTGACCATGAGATTTTCATATACTTTGGTGGTATCACTAGAGTTTGAAATGATTTGTATGTGTCAGTTATGGATTCGCAAGTTATCTCATCTCTTATTCATTACTCCAAAGTTCCCAGAATAGCTTAACTAATTTGCTGTTAACACATGTTAGGTATAAGGCTTCATTAATGGAGATGATAGCAGGAAGGAGAACAAGGTGAGCTCAGAATACGCCATCGATGCAAAGAGGAGAAAAAGAAAAAGGTAAGGCGTCTGATGATCGAGGAGGGGATGTTGACTCCTCCTCATTATGAACAAGGGTGGGTTCCAAAGAGAACTGCACCAACCAAAGATTTGACGATTTTGTTTTCCACCAGACCACAGTCTTGACCTTCGATCGTGCTACGAGCACGGGCAGATAGGTGGTTACAAGGAGGGCCTGCCTTTCCAATCAATCTCCGGCCGCTCAATGTCGCTATTGGTGTGAAAATGAGGTAGTGTTTCAATCATTCTTCCAGAATTTTTTCTAAGCGAAAATCATTAACATTTTCACAAGAAACCAATACTCATTTTCAACATTATAGAAATTTTCCATATGAATCATCTCAATCCTCATGCTTTAGTATTTAAACATCTTTTTTCTTTTTCTTTTTTCTTATAAATCCAAAGCTTGATTCTTACAAACTCGAGTATGTTACTTTTGTTGCATTGTCAACTTGCAACTGAAAAATTTCATTGATATTTAATATCTATTATTATGTGTTGCCTTAGACTAAGGAGCTATTAGCAAATATGCATACTCCTAGGATAGAATGAACATGGCCAGTTAAAGATAGTAAAAATCTACCAACTTGAGAATCTTGATTAGGGAATCTAAGAAATCTCACAGTACTGACTGAGGTATTTCTCCTAAACTAGTTGGGTTCACTATGTGAATCGTCTATATTTATTATGCTTTATTCGAACCTCTTTCATATGTTAAATTAGTCTCATATTTACTTCCCAGATATGTTCGTAATAGACCGTAAAAATATTCAAAATCCAGTTTTGATTATATTGTGCAGGAAATTTTCAAAGGTGAACTAACAGGAAGAAAGTCATCGCATCTACAAGCGAAGAGTATAACACATCAGATGAAATGTGAATCCAAAAGGTGAAGAATTTCAATTGTATTTATTGTTAGAGAAGTTGTGTAGTATCTCAAAAGGAAGTTGTCCCTTGTGGATTAGGAAGAGCTATCTTTTTCATTTTATAATGAGTTTATCCTTTATTGCGCTTGTAGAAAGCTAGTAAAAGGGAGTGGACTCGCGCACGTGAGAAATGGGCTTGAAGGCAAAACTAGTCGATTTGCCCCCTCATGCGTACAAGATATATCTAAGGCCTACTTCAAATCTGGTTTCGCAAAAATTATTTTTGACATTTAACAACAATAACGACCCAGCGAATCACTAGTGGGGTTGAGGAGGGTAGTGTGTACGCAGACCTTACCCCTACTTCGAAGGAGTAGAGAGGTTGTTTCCGAAAGACCTCGGCTCAAGAAGACAAAAAGACAAAAGGAGACAATATCAGTAACACTACAGAAATCATAGGAAAAATAGGAACAACATGAGCTCCAGAAGAAAGATGCAAAGCAAAAGCGAAATAGTAACCCTACCAAACTAGTTTCACAAAGTTATGAAGTAAGGCAAGACCCAATTACCTCCTAACCTACAACCCTAATACTCGACCTCCACATGTTCCTATCAAGTGCCATGTCCTCGGTTTTCTGAAGCCTCGTCATATCCTGCCTGATCACTTCCCCCCAATACTTCTTAGGCCGCCATCTACATTTTTTCGTGCCCTCCACAACCAGCCCCTCACACCTTCTTACCAAAGCATCTAGGCTTCTCCTCTGTACATGCCCGAACCATCTGAGCCTCGCTTCCCGTATCTTGTCATCAATGGGAGCCATGCGCACCTTCTCCCGAATATCATCATTCCTAATCTTATCCATCCTAGTATGCCCGCACATCCACCTCAATATCCTCATTCCTTTCATGCTACCTTCATGTTCTGGATATGTGAGTTCTTAACAGGCCAATACTCAGCCCCATACATCATGGCCGGTCTAACCACCGCTTTATAGAACTTACCTTTGAGTATCAGTGGCACTCTCTTGTCACACAATACTCCAGATGCTAACCTCCACTCCATCCATCCTACCCCAATACGGTGTGTGACATCCTCGTCCATCTCCCCCCCCCCCCCCCCCCTCCATGGATAACCGACCCAAGGTACTTGAAGCTGGCTCTACTCGGGATGAACTGTGATTCAAGCCTCACATCCACGCCCACTTCCCCCGGCTCAGTGCTGAACTTACACTCCAGGTATTCCGTCTTCGTCCTACTAAGCTTGAAACCCTTAGATTCAAGAGCATGTCTCCAGACCTCCAGGCTCTCGATAACACCGGCTCGCGACTCATCAATCGGAGCTATGCCATCGGAATAGCATGCACCATGACACATCTCCTTGAATGTGGTGTGTTAACGCGTCCATCACCAGGGCGAATAAGAACGGACTGAGCGCAGAACCTTGGTGTAACCCCATAACAACCGGAAAATCCTCAGAGTCGCCTCCTACTGTCTTAACCAGTGTCTTAGCCCCTTCATACATGTCCTTAATCGCCATAATGTAGGGAACCGACACACCTTTTGCCTCCAAGGTTCTCCAGAGAACTTCTCTAGGAACCTTGTCATACGCTTTCTCTAGGTCAATAAACACCATGTGCGGGTCTTTCTTCCTATCTCTGTACTGTTCAACCAACCTCCTAACAAGGTGTATAGCTTCTGTAGTAGAACGACCCGGCATGAACCCAAACTGGTTGTCGGAAACGGACATCGTCATCCTCACCCTCGCTTCAACCACCATCTCCCACACTTTCATAGTATGACTCAATAATTTGATACCCCTATAATTGTTACAACTCTGAAATCACCTTTGTTCTTATACAATGGGACCACTGTACTCCACCTCCACTCATCCGGCATCCTCCTTAAAAATAACATTAAACAACCTAGGTTTACGAGAATATGTCCAGATATATTCCCTCTGAGATTAATTATGTTGTAATTCTAGAATTATAACCTTTGGTTTTTTATGAGAATTAGTCAGCCCCATAGCGTTCATAGTTTCTCCACTCCTATAAAAACAAATATTGGTTCCTTTGAGAGAGACCACTACACAAACTTTCTTCTTCTCTATTATGATCTCTGCCGGGTTTTTTACTTTGAAATCTTTGTTGTTTTTGCTCTTGATTTATATTTAAAGAGCTTGTCGAATTCTAATCAGTGGAATATTTTTAAGGATAGTATCTCTGACACGCCTCAAGCTTTGAACAATTTTCGTGATATTTCCAACATTTATTTCAAGCAATAAATTACCAAATATTGACTCTTCTGGTTAGTTTGTTGAGTACATTGAAAAATTTCCTTTTTACTCCCGAAATTAATGACAAGGCTTATCTGATGGTTTTCTTTTTTCGTATTGAGGCAAAACGTTCTATTGTTATTGAATTTTGATATAGTTACTCATAGGAAAGTGTGAAAACACAAATAAGAAAGTATGATGTTAAAATGGGAGAAATTCAAAAATAGCCAGATTTACCACTGGTCGTTGAAAAATAGCCAAGTTTCAAAAGTCATCGAAATTTAGCCACTTTAAATTTGAACGAAAACACTGTTACAAAATCCGGAAAAATACGCCCGCAAATTTTACGGGAGTTCCAGCATAAGTATGCTTGAACTCCCGCAAATTTTACGGGAGTTCCAGGATAACTATGCTGGAACTCCCGCAAATTTTACGGGAGTTCCAGCAAGTATAATTGTCCAGTATAATATACTGGAGTTTGGAGCACTGGTGCTCCAGTCTCCCACAAATTTTACAGGAGTTAGCAAAGTATACCGGTCCAGCATAATATGCCGGAGTTCGTACACAAATGCACCAGAACTCCCGTATATTATACAGGACCGGTCCCTGTTGCAGCAAAATAGTGACTATTTTTCATTGCCTTGATAAACGCTGGCTATTTTTCATTGACCAGTGTGAAAACTGGCTATACCATGATATTTTAACTGTTAAAATGGGGTTGTGAAAGAACTAGCCCAATGTGAAATTACTTAAATACACAATACATGTTTTTACATAACTAATTTTTTATTGGGAAAATTTCACATGTGCTCCCTACTTGTTAATTTTATAGCATATATTTCAATTTACAACCAATTAGCCCAAAAATGGTAGGTTAAGATTCAACATATAACTCCAATAGGTTCTCAATATTCCTATTTAATTTTTTAAAAGATTGTTCAAGTTTTTAAGTTAATTTTTGAATTTAGTAACTATGACTCAAATATTAGTTCAATAAATCAAATCAATTAGGTGATGAAAATTAGATTTTTAACAAGCTTAAATATGTGAGTTTAAATTCCAATTTGATTTTGTGAGAAATTTGGAGTGGATGTTATTTAGACTTGTTAGAAATAGTATAAGGAGGTTATATATAAAATTTGAAGTCATTTAATGGAGATTTGGACTGGTTTTGAACAAGAATTGCAACTGAAAATCGTGGAAGAAGTTCGTCTACAGACGCTTGTATAAAGGTGTATAAAAGTGTATAAGATGTGTTTATACACTCATATACACTATTATATAAGATTATACATAATTATACAAAAAATTGACTTCGTATTCTTCCTTGCGTCTTTTCTGAAAGTTAACTCAAATCTTGCTCAATTCTACTCCAAATCACTTCAAATTTAAATTTTGAACTCCTTTGATATTTTCAATCAAGTGGAACAACACCCAATCCAAACAACTAACAAACTCAAAAAGTCCTATTTTTGAAAGCAAAGCTTTGAATGACTTTCAATGGTGGAATTCTACTCATCAATTTTTTTTATATGGCAACCATGTGACATAGGGCGAGAAGCAGTAATGGCGGACGATCCCTTGTAGCATATGTAAAAGATGTGAGAAGAAGAGAGAGTGAAAGCAGTGGGTGTGAGAACATAGATTTAACTCCATAACTTTTAGAAGCAGTGGTTGTAAGAACACAGATTTTAAATTTGCAAGAGCTAGTGTTTTCAGAATATGTACAATATGGATTAGGTCGGGTAAAACTTAAAAATATGGGACATTTTTTGTTATGGTGTGAAGTCATCTGTATTTTCTTGTAATTCTTTCTTTTTTATTTTGTTTTCATATTTTTCCCTTGAACTTTATATTAGATGCAGCTTTATGTTGGTGGTAGCCCATTTTCTCCCACTCAAACTACATATATGTCTAAGCTAAAAAAAATTATTATTCTTATTTATCAAAATCTTGATAGACAGAGTTATATTTGCGATGTGAGATATGTAGCATGTATTCAATGACTTAGTTGAGGTTGATGTACGTTGGCTCGAAACCAATGTGATTTAAAAGAAGAATTTTAATAAATATATCTATAATAGGTCTACTCAAATGATTTATGGATGCAATGATACCTGTGACACAAAATTATGTTACAGTATTCTAAATTCCCAAATAGTGTATGTTAGTACAACAATAACTACGCCTCAATTTTACACACGTCTTTGTAAAATGTCAAAAAATGTAATTTGATCATGGCGGGGCGGTGATTAAGGTTCCTTAGGTCGTATTTGATGTCCCGGACAAATATTAGGCGATCCGATTCCGGCTTCGTCCCACGGCGTCGGGCTTGGGCCATGGCAGGCGAAAATACAGGCACGACTGGCGGAATTTCAGTTTAATTGCCGTACCAAAAAATATAATTTGGTCATGGCAGGGCGGTGACTAAGGTTCCATAGGTCGTATTTGATGTCCCGGACAAATATTAGGCGATCCGGTTCCGACTCCGTCCCACGGCGTCGGGCTTGGCCCACGGCAGGCGAAAAATACATGTCAGCGCCTGCGATATGATGTAAAATTAGAAGTTATGCTGCAAATATTAAAATGTGTTTATGATACAAGTATTAAAATGTTTAATATAACATATCCCGTTTTAGAGATTTTTATACTGTTAAGCAGTTATTAAGAAATATATACGGAGCCAACATATCTTTTTGAATATTACAAGATTAACATATTTAATAGCATATTTAGCATTTAAAAGAGAAGATAGCATTTACTCTTTAAAGCACACCCCACTAATTAGGGATAAATTTCAATCAATAACATTAACTCCTCCGATTTACCGTGGAAAAAATGTACTTTTGTTTTTCTCTCTATCTTCCACTCTTTTTTTATTTTCCATAATCGAAAACTTACCTTCAAGATTTTCCCTTCATTAATGTGTATAGAAATAAAATATTGGATAAACTGTTTATATACGAATATAATACCAAATATATATAGATATATGCGTTATGATACTGTAAAATTTAAATGGTATGTTGATGATATATATTTAAATATAAATATGTGTATAAACAACATATGTATTTATACTTGGTTTTTTCCCTTTAAAATACTTGGTTTTTAATGTATACAACAACAACAATAAACCCAGTGTAATCTCACATGTGGGGCCTTTTAAAACACTTGGTATATACCACAACTATTTTTTCACGAATTATCTGTATCTTTTCTAGAATACATATGGTAAATAAATAAATATATAAATGATATAATGTATCCTATACAAATGTAGACAAAAGATAGCAAATTTTATAAATAATATGTTATGGATTGGATGGTTTCCACCGATAATATACGATTAGATATTAACCATTTAAATATGTTATGGAATGAATTGGTTTTCAGCCAAAAAAAAAAAAAAAAAAGAAGATAAAAATATTAATTATTCTAGGACCATTTTATTTTACGCTTGATTCTCGCTGAAAAGATATCACCAATATTTTAATGCCACTACTTATTAATCATTAACTGATGCCAATTTTCCGTATATCGCTTTATAATATTACTTATTATAGTCTGCTAGTAATGAAAATATCCCCTTTCTTTTTTGAATAAAATCCTAATCATCACGTTATTTGGCAGTAAATGAGCATTTGAACAAGACTCTAAGGGTGTGTTTGGTACGAACGAAAATATTTTTCATGGAAAATATTTTTTTAGAAAAAGTTTTCATGAAAAATGAGTGGTTTTATCACTTAATTTTTCTTGTTTGGTTGGTGAGTAAAAAATATTTCCCAAAAAATATTTTTAGTGTTTGGTTAGAGAATAGAATATTCTTTTATGCTACTCTCCTCATCTACCCCCCCCCCCCCCCTCCTTCCCTTAAGTCTCTAAAAATTCATTTGTTGAAATGAAAACAAAATCTATCTATAACATGAAAAGAAAGTACTATTAATAATATTTTTATTTAGGATTGGGGTGGGGTGGGGTGTGGAGGTGGGTTGGTGGGGATGGGGAATAGCGTGGGGAAGGTTGAGAAGGAGTTTTGGAAAATGTTTTCCCTTTTCTTGATAGGGAAAACAATTGGAGGAAAATGAATTCATGAGGAAAATATTTTTCAAAATATTTAAGCCAACCAAACATGGGAAAATTAGAAAATATTTTCCGGAAATATTTTTCTTCATACCAAACACACCCTAAATATTGATTTGCTTGCAAATCTATCTTGTATAACAGTTCTCCAAAATAATAGCCCTATATATATATATATATATATATATATATATATATATATATATATATATATATATATATATATATATATATATTTGAATGGGGACTGTAATTATTTTCGGACGATCAGCCAGATGTGTTAAAAACCCAATCTATTTGTCCCACGGGAAAAAGTCCCGCATTTTTGCGAGTAATTTACATTCATCATATTTTCGGCCAAAGATCCTATTTATCTTTTATTTATCCCCTTTTATTGTCCGTCTTTTTCCTCATTTTGGCTTTTTCCCTATTTTTTCATTCATGTGTTACGTATTACAAAACCCAAATGTCACCTATTAAATTCTCTTAATTACATTATAGTAATGCATGTATTAATTAATTAATTACTACATTTATGTTGCCTAATTACTATTTGTTGAGAGTATCAGAAACGCATGATTACAATTAATATCATACTCGGTTGTCTATAAAAAGGGAATGTCAAATTCTTTAACACTGAATTACTCTCATATTTTTTCTATATATCGAAAATGATCTCATCAAATTTACAATATTCAACAAGGTGATATTTTCTTCCTCTATTTTGTCCTTTGTTTCATTTTTTATTCTTTGTTAGATTGCCAGAAGGGGGTCTTTAAATACATTCCAGGTAAAATTAAATGAGTTTTTTGTTAAAATTAATACTATTATATATTGTTAAATCTAACTCCAAGATTAAGTTCTTCTCTTATTTGTATAAAATGGGATTCAGTGAAAAATATAATGAGGGAATTGATTAATGTTTAGAATTGCGATGAGTCTGGAGACTTTTCGTTTTTTCACTAAGATGGCATTTAAACTTGATTTTTGTTTTATTTCTACAATAACAATTTCTGAAGAATATTGTATTTCGCACTTTTGGACTTTTTCTTTTCTCTCTCATAATGTTTCTTTTATGTTTTATAGTGAGTTTTCTTCTTTGTAAATTTTATCAAGAGATAAGAGATAAGATTTTTCATTTGTATGCAAAAAGTTAATTTTATAAGTATTTTACAGTGAATATTTTTGTTTTCTTAAAACAAAAACGTTTGTATATGACAATGTATATTCAACTATGCTTTACTTTCAATAAATCGATATTGACGCAAATGTATGATGTTTACATGCATATTCTTTCTTATAGGAAAAAAAAGATGATACTTAAATTCTTTATTAGCCTATTGATCTCTTCGTGAATTCACAAATATTTTTTATGAATGCGCAAAGCGCGAATAAATTTATTAGCCAATAAGTAAACTAGATACCACCTGAGAAAATATGATTTATAACATCATGTAAGGAATATTTGCTTCCTTTCTATTTCTAACTTTAATTCATTTTATAATTAGTGTATTACTTTCTACAGTTCTTATAGTGAATATAGGAAATTCTTGAAAACTAATGATATGGTAATTGCATAACTAGTAGTATAATAAAAGAAGAAAAAGTTGTTGCAGAAATTATATATTGAATATAACCAAGATAAATTTCAAAAATCAAATCCGTATTATGTTTTATCCTTTTATTATTATAAACTTAATTATTTGCTTTTCCTTCAAGATACTTCTCTTATTATAAATAGTTGTATACTTTATTATACTTTCAAACTGATATAGTGAATTGAAGATTCATTCACTCATCTTTCCTTACAGTAGCCAAATGCTCTTTGTTTTCTTTCCTTTAATAGTTTCATTAATTGCTTCTTCAGAGTTTTTCATGTGATAATGTTCTTGAGATATTATCTAGAACATTCTTATTTAGAAGCACGAGATGTATGCAAAATAGTAAGTAAAATATGAAAAAGAATTACATGTGAATCAAGATTCATGCAACACTATTGTCGGAAAACTAATAATATTTCAGGTTGCTTTGTTCAATGTGCAAAGAATCGCAAACACGTCTTAAAATTTATTTCAATAGATGAATGTTCGGGAAAAAAATCAGTACGTCAACTAGTTGAAGCCTGTTATAAATAGAGTTTTATTATGGTGAATGTCTATATTTAGAGATATTCTAGGGTTCATTGCTTGATGGCTAAGTCACCCTCTCCCTATAAATAGAGGGTTCTATTCCATTGTAATTCATCCCAAAATCAATAACAATTCTCTCTCTCTACTTTTCTCTGCAATATTATTCTTCTTCTTTTATTGTTTTATAACACGTTATCAGCACGAGACTCTAACCAATTGAGTAGTAGCTTTGGGATTGAGCATAATGATTGTCAATTGTTCCATGAACTTCCTTCATGATTAAATTCTGGATTTAAGTAAGTATTTTACCGTATTTTTCTCTTTTATTCTATATTTGATTTTAAATACAAGCAAAGACAATAAATTTTGATTATAACTCTAATGGAGTTTGTAAGAAATTATAACCACCCGAAGTGGTAAATTTTTTATGTCTTGCCATGATCAAAGTCATGTATGATCGTGAGCACAAGAAGTGAAAACCCATTGAATTTGCTCCATTCTCATTCCCTTAAGAGAATGTGATAGCAATTAAGTCTGAAAGAAGACAAAACTATTACCATGAAGGTATCAATGGATGTGGATGTGGCAATAGACGAAATTATAATCGTCATCATTGTGATAATGAGAATAATAAGGATTCTCAAAATA